TAATATCTTTAATTTATTGCTGTTGTTGTCGTTGTTTTTTATTGCCTTGCAACACTTAGTACCTGATTCAACCGGCTGATCACTCTTGAGAGAAATAATTGAACTTACCATGTAAAGTCTCCCACTCAACTTAGCTGGAAAGGCTGGAGAGAACAGCAATAAGAAAAATACATTCAATAAAAGTTGGGTAAAAAATTAAAGGATGCAATTCTTTAATCAACAATCTTAGGTTGGATACAGTTACAGTTCTTACTGTTAAATCGTTTCATTGCGATTTATGCATTTTAAGGAAAAAAACAAACAACAGAAAACAAAACACTCCAAATCGCAGTCACTTCGAAAATTAGAGGTTTGAACTTAGAACAGTAACAAAAATGAGAGACTTCTTACCTTTGCATGACAACGCTCGCTTTGCCGGTTTTGGTTTGGCGCTGGCAAAGCCAAAAAGAAAAAATGCCACAAGAAAAAAAGTCTTCATCATCAGGCAGTGCTGTATCGCTCAACTGCACTGAAGAGCCTACGTTTCATTTTTATATTCTGCCAAATGTGTAATCAGCTGTTTGAAGCTCATTAAAAAGTAACTCTAAAACTCCTTTAGCGATGCATGAGGAGAACATTTCTCTATTAAATAGATGGAATTACATTCCATTTTGCTTAGTTCAAAAAGAAAATTGAAAGCAAGCACACTGCTGCTCAAAGTTTTAAAAAATCATTCATAATATTTTAAAATTAGATTTGCCCAGTTGAGTTGGTTAAATTACAACAGATTTTTGTGGGAAGTGGTCGCTACTGTGTCGCATGAAAGTTTGGAGACTTTTCGAAAGTTTCCGCAGCAACAAAATAAAAAAAATAATTGAAAATGATAAAAAGAAGCTCATGAATTTTTTTTAGGCCAACGCTTTTATGAAACTTTTCATGGCAAGTGGGCAGCATTTTGGCCTCTCGCGTGATTTTTGTTGTTGTTGTTGTACGAGTCCTTGGGAAGTTAGGTGTTATTGTAATTTTGTTGAAATGGCCCTGATACGTCGAGTGCGATAAAACATAAGGAGATTAAACATTTTACGCTTCCTTCCTTCCTAATGGTCAGCAGCTTGAAAAGGAAATCATAAACATTATTTTCTAGCAGAAATCTCGATCATCCCTGACTGCAAAATTCTGCCTACATCTTAAAGAAATGGCCAACCCGCAAAAATTACATTCCCGAAATTTACATTTCTGTGCCATGTAGTAAAATGCACATACTTGCTAAATGCCTACATAATTCAGAAGCTTTTTAAAGTATGCGATGAAAGTTAAGAAAATTTAAAATTCCGCATGCCACGAAAGAAAAAAATTGCCATATATAACACTAAGTAAATGGTAAGTTTGGATTTTTAGGTTTTTGATCTCGCGACGCACATGATTGGGTGTTTTTAATGTGTTGGTTTAAGTTGTTTGATATTTCCATTATTTTACCTTAATTGCCTTTAAATGGATAAAAAGTTCACAAATAGAATTCAGTTATACGAAGAACTTGATCACCAAAACTATATCATATGCTAAAATTGTTTTACCTTGTCCTGTCACTTTCCACAAATCTGAGATGCGGTCTTATCTGTATGAGACTAGGAAATTATTTGCTGCGTCATAAACCTGACTGCTTTGACTCTTTGAAGTAAAATGGTCCTCACTTTGCAAAACGTTTATGTTTGAAGCAGGCAATGGAAATATACAGAACTAACAGCTTATATCGTGCAAAATGTTCTGTACTAACTTTCAGGGGAACGCATAGCTGCTTGAAAGAAAAGTATGACTTATAATAATGGTGAAGGTTAGAGGACTACTAAGGTTACTAGGGTTACTAGAGACATAAGGTGAATTCGAAAAGTTCTCTTCTCGAAAGTGAGCCGCAGTCACTTACATTTATAGATGAACCGCTCACTGATTCACTCAGTTGGTCAATCAATCAATCAATCATTTATTGTCTAATTTGCCCTATGACTTAAATTTTAATCATAAATATAAAAAAAAAGGACAAGAGAAAAATGACTTCAAATAGCAGTTATTTGGCAGGGTGCAGCGGGTAGCCTTTAGCGATGTTGTCAATTTGTAAAACTAAAGGACTCTTTCATTATTCATTATTCGTTATGTATAAAGCCGCATTAGCCAACTACATCATCAGCATAATTTCTTGGCTTCATTTTATCTTCACAGATCGTCAAACGAATCTCCACATTATATGGTTCCGCTTAGTACACCCATAAGTTTCCGCTTTAATCCCTACACATACAAAGAGAAAGTGCGGATAACTTTTTTTTCGGCAGCTAATGAAGTTGTTTGGTTTTTGCAATTCTTTACGGTGTTGGATGCTTAACTGAAAACTTTTCAGCTTTCCGGGTCGCACTTACATCCAAGTTACAATTTTGTTGTCAGCAGTGTAGGTCTTCAATTTGAGGTCAGGGTCATTCGGTTTCATTCTAGTCATAAACACAGTACTTTCTCTGAATCTTAATCAACAGCCCATTCCCCCATCTTACCCTTTGGCCAGAATATCAGTAGATTCCGATGAAACAGTCATAAGAGTGCGATAAAATTTTAACAGTCCATTTGCGGGTGGGAATATATATCGATCGTATTAGAACCCTTAGCAGGGTTCTACGAATCGAAAAGATTTGTTGAAAGATAATGTTATTCAGTGAAAGACACAGGCATAATAGTGCTTCCAATAGGAGTCGACCCTACGACCTTCCAGTTTGTACCTCAGATGCACTACCTTTGAGCCGTTTCTTTAGGTCCAAGTTCCAAGAAGACAAGCTTCCTGTATCATGCCAATATTTCTTATTACTCGTTTTCTAGTGTTGTAAGTGCTCGCTCTGAATTCAAATCGTGCTTTTCGATCAGCACTTCAGTACTTCAAATATCAAAGAAAGGACAAATACGAATTGGAACTAATGGATAAAAACATTGCACTGATCACCTTTCATCCCAATGCAAGTTTTCAATTTTTGTAAAAACATGTTATAATAGACATTTGGAATCAAAAAAGGTTCCATTAACGCGTGTAAGGAAAACAGTGAAAATCGATGCTCTTCACCAGCAGTGACCATTAATTTACACAGCCTTGGATCATTTACAGCAATTAACAAAGCTAAAATGGCTCGTCACAATTTAATGTTTTTCTAATGTTTCTCCTAATGAAACTTAACGTGTTTCGAGGAAACACGAAAGGAAAGATTTAAGATGAAGTAAAATTTAGTAAAACTATGATGAGTAAGAGTTTTACAGCTAACATTATTAAACAAAACGGAAAAAAAAATTGGTACTTTTTAAAATGGTTTTATTGCATTTTTTTTAGCTGGATATATTTCTGTGCCTATTTGCTCCAGAATAGTCCTAAGCGGAAATTTAAGCCTCTGCACCAAGTGGAAGCCAAGTTAGCTCAGTGAACTTTTATTATCAGTTTTACAGTTGTCTTTCGCACGCTTCCCCTTTTTTACTTTTTTGACTCCCACTCACCGCAAAAGTGATTCGCTTCTGTGCCGTCATAAAAAGTCGTAAACCCTGAAGGTTTTAAAACGTTTCATCCTTTTTCTAACTTTTATTTTTCAACCTTTTTTTTTTCAGTAATGAACGGGCTTGAGATCTAATGCCTAGGAATATTCTTAAGTAGAATATTACAGGTTATTCTTCTCTTCTTTCTGTTCACCAAGCCAACAAAAACAACGACAACAGCAAAAGGTGATAAAATAAGGGAAAAGTTACCTTTTGTCAACCCAGTCTTTTGAGTAACCGACCGCTCGATCCAAACGACCAGCGATTACTTTTTCAATTCTATAGTGCTACATGTAACTATTACTGATTTGTGGCCATGGTTTTTCGCTGAACCTTTTTAACCTATTGTCAAACTATCAGCATGTGTGATGAAAATTGAGTGGTTCGAAGTTTCTAACCAACACTATCTTAACTCTAACCCTCTGTTAATTTTTCGCCCCAAAATTCGTATTGATATTCTCCTCACTAATCTCTCTACATTTCCACGGTAATGGCAAAGGGAATTTGTTTAATAATAAGGAGCCTCTTGAAGTGGTAATAACTTCTTTCCTCCTCATGGCCTTTACAGTGGATTGAAGGGCGATTCCGTTGAGAGAAATTAGAAGCCCGTCACTCTTATGGTTTAAAGGGTTAAAGATATAAAAAAAAATGTCATTATTAAGCACCTTTTTCCTTTCGATTTTTTCAAGTCTTGCAACACGATTACAGATTATTACATATCGCTGTGCACACCCATAGTGCAGCTCTTGGCTACTCAATCAAATCTTCTTTTGTAGTCTCTTTACTGTAACGCTGTATTTCAAAGTTCTAAACGTTGAAAATGAGATTAAAGCAATGTGTACCGGGGCACTCTTTGAATTGTTGATGTAAAGATCCAAGTGGAGTTAACTTTAAACTGTAAAATGACCAAAAAAATCAACAGTCAGGCGTAAAAATTGACCAATTTAATTATTGGTCGAAAAAAAGTTGACAATGAAATCTTCTTTTTTTTTTAATCGTAATGTAAAGAAATTAGCCGTCAGCCTTAAAAGCCATAACCTTATTGGCACCCTCATAGTATAACACGAAGGCAACGAGAATGTCTAAGTAATGTTGTCTCTGTACAAGAGCAAACATTATATTAATAATAATAAAAAAAAATACTACCGAGGTGACTAATCAAAAAAATGTTAAAGTAGCCCTTCATTGGGTGATAATGCGTTTACACTAAAAGTTTTGTTAGGTTCGTTGGCAAACATAACCCCTATATTAAATAATTACCTTTGCACGTTAAAAATATTTACATTTCTTCAAAATATTTTATTTTTTAACCTTTTTTTTTTTGGTAATTTTTTTTTTTTCATCCCAACTCGCGGGCTTGGTAAACATAAGCGGGCTTGAGATCTAATTAGTTGGAATATTCTTAAGTAGAATATTACAGGTTATTCTTCTCTTCTTTCTGTTCACCAAGCCAACAAAAACAACGACAACAACAGAAAGTGATAAAATAAGGGAAAAGTCAGCTTTTGTCAACCCAGTCTTTCGAGTAACCGACCGCTCGATCCAAACGACCAGCGATTACTTTTTTCAATTCTATAGTGCTACATGTAACTATTACTGATTTGTGGCCATGGTTTTTCGCTGAACCTTTTTAACCTAATGTCAAACTATCAGCATGTGTGATAAAAAATCTCACAGGTTTCGAAGAAATTACTTATTTACAGATACGACGTAAAATTTATTAAATTCCGTTCACATAAAGTTTAAAGAAATTCACACTCATCCCACATTTGTCAAAAACATTTAAAAGAAATTAAAATTTAATTTGAGAGAAAAACCAACTCAGGTTTGAAATATTCTGAAATGTTGATTGCAAACACTCATATCATTCTAGCTGTCATTAATGACCCTCGGGGGCTGAATGACTGGTGAACATTTACATTCATCAAAGCTGAGTTTTGAGTTTTTTCCTCATAGACCTTGACTTTTATTTCGGCTCATTTTCGACAAAAAATATTCTTCGCTGCTTTTGAAATTTCTCGGCGAATCTCTTGAATTCTCCAACAGTAAAGAAAAGGGTTTAATGATGCATTTGCGAACAACACTGTCATTGCAAAGCTCAAACACGCGATCTTCACTGAATCTCTCCCCGTTACTTCTATAACAATGAACATCGACAAATATGGAACGTAACAGAGAATTAACAGAATGTAGATATAAAACATTGTGACCACGGATCGTCGATAAAGCTGAAGATGGGGTGTATTTTCTTTCACATGAAAAATAACTTGTGATTCAGTGTCCTGAGTTTGGAAACGTGAGGCGATCATGGAGTTCTGTAGCATGCGCAGACGAGTTTGAAGGGTGACATAAGCCGAAGCGCATATCAAGAGACAGACAAACACGCTTGCAATATTGAAGATTTGATAGATCTTGATACTCATGATCCAGGCAATGACCCATAAGCTTGTTGCTGACCAAAGAAGGAGCAGTAAAATGGCAACACGTCTCAGAGAAATGGCTGCGTTGTAACCCTTTTTTAAATGGAGCGCCAGTAGTCTGTCGATAGCGATCGCAGTCACAGTTAAAAAAGACACGGCCGAAAACACATTCGCAGACAAATGGAAGCCAATCCCAGCAACACAAAACATTCGAAAGTTATCGTTCACTTCGGCTGCTTTGTAAGTGATATAAAGCGGTTGAACAAGGGCGCCAACTCCGAGGTCAGACATTGCTAAGCTGAAGAGAAGAGCCTTTGATGGGGAGCGAAGCGTCGAAGACGATTTGGTCAACGCCCAGAGAATCGCTGAATTTCCAACGATCGCTGTAACTGACAAAACTGCATTGAGCACACAATTTAGGATAAAAGGCAATTTCAACGCATCTTGACTATAGACTAAAAATCGAGTCAGGTAGTAGCATGAGAGATTTCCATGACGCGTCCATTCTGTGGACTCTGCGTTTAAACTCGTGTTCATCACTCTGGTAAAGTAGGCAATTGATTTCTGACCTCAACGAAAATTCTCTCAAAATTTAAAAGCCAGTAAAATGGCTTGTATATAGCGCAGCTGATATAATTTCACTAGGCATCACTAACAAACAATATTAAAAGTCATAAGACAGGTGAATCTTTGTATTCTTGCGACATGATCTTCTTTCTCATGGAAATTTTCCGGATCTGATGTGAATTCGCCCAATCATGAGTTGATGAGTACGCTGTTTAAAACAATAGCTCACCACGACATGGAAGCGGCGAAACAACGAGTTTATTTGGTAATGACGGCATTTTTTTTTCCTGCGAGAAAAAGATGCGGTTATATCCTTAACAAAAACAGATTTAAAGAACCTTTTGCGTGGAACAGCCGGTTCAGATAATGACACATGATTTCAGCATAAATAATTATTAGTGTATACTATTGTATGTCAGAAAGAAATTCTATTTAAATTGTAAGTCGAATAGCCATCTATAGGGTCAATTCATCTCATTTGATTAAAAGAGAGTTGATGACATCAGCGTTCGCTGTTGCAACGTATCCAGAGACAACACAGCACTGCATGCAAGCGATAGTGAATTGAAAAAACTCCTCTTTGCCTGCAAAAAAAAAAAAAAGCGAGAGAAATGTAATGCAATTGATAGCTCTTACCAAATTGATCATGAAATCCAATTTGCTCTAAAATCGTAACTTTTATCTCTTTTTGTTATTCAAGTCAAATAAATAATTTGTGTTACATGAAAGACTTAACTAGAAGAAAATGGTAACAATAGTCAATTTTGTCATGGTAGTCATGTAGTCATTCGTATTTTGGCTGTAATGCCAATAATATAGTATTACTGACATTTTAATTAGAGGTGTCAACAGTAGCGCCGTTTATCACGTTTTTACTTCAAACGAGGTGTGCTCTGCATGTTTTTGATAAAGGTTCGTGGCCAGTTGTAGCCCAATGGATTTTATGTTTTGTTGACTCTTGTTTGATTACCACATTACGTGAAGGCGCTACAAGTATATCTCGATGTTTATAATTTTTCATTGATAAAAGCATATATCTTTGTCACTGAAAGGTTATTCATTTGGTAAAAAAAAAAAAAGAAACTAAATCAAAACAACGAAAGGGAAACATTTAACCGCATAGAAAGATAGAAGGCGGACTGATGTACAATGTTTCATCATTTTGGCCTTTTTAAATTTTTAAAACGTATATTTCTCTAGTTCTTTAAGTAATCAAATGCCTAACTTTTACTTTGTAGTACTATCTGAGGAAGAAAATTAATATTCAGAGTTTTTTTTACAATTTGAATAAGTACAAACTAATTAACCTTAGAAATTAACTATGACTCGCCTCATGTTCAATGAATATTGATGATAATCTCCGAGAAAAAGTCAGGGTGATTATTCAACTTTATTGTTTTTTTAGAGGGCACGGTAACGAATCCTGCAATCTGATTGGTTCTTTACCCGGTCAGTATTTTCCTATCTCTGCCCACGGGCCACGGTAACACTTTCGTAAGTCGCCGAGTACATCCCAACTTTCGTTGTCATTTTTCATAACTGCATCTCGTTTTCCGGATGGGCAGTATTTTTAAACAAACACGTCGGTCACTACCTCAAGCCGATAAATAACTTATGAATCCTCTCTTTCCTCTCTCTCAAATCACTTTGGTTGACAGAAAAATATTGGTTTCAGAATGAATTTGTATAAACAATAGTGTCATTACGTTGGTTGACAAGCGGCCTAAAAACCGTCTGCAATTAATTTTAATCGTTCACAAAAAGTACCCAGAAAGTTAAAACGTGAGGTATTTGGTTACAGGTAAACTGAACGATGGAACCTTCATTCATTTAATATCTGTATTTTCTCGAGCAATTTGTTCGTAGTGAAAGGGCGAGCGAAGTTTTAATTTAAGTTTTACGTCAAATATATGCTCCCGATGAGTCTTTCCAGTTCCGTTCGATTTGGACATTTGTACCGTAAATTGCACAAGAGAAACTGAAGGACTGATGTTTGGAGAAAAGGTCGCATGAAATTCCCTTGTGTCTCGTTGGAGTGTGCCGTTCGAATTTAGTTTT